GGAACCACAATTGAGAATATACATCCTTAAAATTGCTCTGTTTTAGTTTTTAGTGCAGGTTCTTAGTTTTATCTTTTGGTCTTTAGTGTCTTTTACTAATTAATAGTTGATTAGTGTATGCAGGCCCAGCCCATAGGAGTGGTGCCACTTCTCATACAGGATCTTGGGCACTATAAGAAAGCAGACTAAGCAAACCACACCAAGCAAGTCTATAAGCAGCATTCTCCTGCCTCCAGGTTCCTGCCCTGATTTCCTTCCATGATGAACTGTGTGGTGGTCTGAATAGGAATCTCTCATAGACTATTGAGTTTGAATGGTTGGCCCGTAGGGAGTGGCATTATTAGGAGGTATGACTTTGTTGGAGAAACTGTGTCACAATGGGGTAGACTTTGAGGTCTCAGAAGCTCAAGCCAGTTCACTTCCGGATGCCTGCTGATCCAGATGTAAAACTCTCAGCAACTCCAGCACCATATCTGCTTGCATACTGCTGTGATCCCTCCTATGAGTATAATAGAATAAAGCTCTGAACTGTTAGCCAGCCCAAATTAAATGTTTTTCTTTGTAAGAGTTGCTGTGGTCATGGTGTCTCTTCACAGCAGAAGAAACCCTAAGACAAACTGTGATGTGGAAGTGGAAGTGAAAAGAATCTTTCCTTCCCAAGCTGCTTTTGGCCATTGTTTTACCATAGCAAGAAAATCCTAAGACAGATCTCTTTGGAGAAACATAGGAGACTCATTCCTAAAAAATACTTGCCTTAGACCTGAAGAGATGGTGCAGCAGTTGAAAGCACATGCTTTTCTTGCATAGGACATGAGTTCAGTAGCCAGAGTCTACATGGCAGCTCACAACCATTTGCAACTCCATTTCCAGGAGATGTGATGTCCTCTCCTAACCTCTGCAGTCACTGAAGGTACATTGGTGCACTTACATGCAGGCAAAACATAAACACACACACACACACACACATACACACACACACACACCGGATAAATAAAACAAGGCAAATAAAATCACTTTCCCTGATGATGCAGCATGAGAAAACTAGGCTGCTCTTCACTTTTAGGTTTCAGTTCTAATAACTGACAAATCTGGAAACTAGACAGAGGACAAATAGCAATTTGGAGGGCAGAGACTTCTTGCCTTCATAATGATTCACTTTTGCTTTCAGTGGCTATTTATCTCACACAATGCCTTTGTTGCTTTCGCCCATTTGCAGTCAGCTTTGCCTTGTCTTCTTAGCCATCTCCATCATCCCACCAGCATAGGTACCTCCAACAGGCACTCTAACCTTGCCATTCCTTCTGACAACCACATCAACCTTCTTCTGGGGCTTAAAGCATCCTCAGCTCATGCTTATTCCAGGCCTCACCATCCCTCATATCACTGGAGAGTCCACTTCTGTGTTAGCAGCTTATGCCATCAACCCAGGCTGCGGAGGAAGGTCAAATCTGAACAGTTCATACATCCTTCTCTCCAAGAAGTAGTAGGCCACATTCCATATTGGCCAAGGAACTAAATAGATGTTGTGTCACTCACCAAGTACACTTAGGCCAGTTATATTCAGAAGTCAGGAAAATGACCAAACAAAACCAATAAAAACACGTACCCTGATATTGCAGCATAGTGTACCACCTTGGTAAGTGGCACATCATTTAGGCTCTCCCACAGAACAGTCATTGGTGAGTTTTCCACCCTTACCTAGCACGTCCATTTCAGCACACCTAGTCTGACAAACATGCAATATTACTTCTACTTGAGCCACGTCGAATCTGACAGTCTGTTTCAGGTGGTCTTGATGGTAAGAGCCATTTTAACTCCATGTTTGGACCACCTCCTGGAGATCCAACCTTTCGCTTTTCTTCTCTTTAATTCAGCATCTTCATATACAGATCCATATTCTCCTGGTTACCAGGGGATGTTGTTTGAGCCTATTAGGACTTTGGAATGTTAGCAGCTTCCCTGACCAAGTCTAATGTGTCCCTGGATAGTCTATATTAATTTGTCCATATATATATATAATTGTCAAGAGGGGAGGGAAAATCCAAGGGGACATGTTTTCTCCTCAATGAGAGGCCTCAGGGCTTCCCTAAAGCAAGAAAAGGCAACAAAAGCCCTAAAAAGAAACAGGCTCCTCCAACAGGTTATAATGACTCCGGGAAACAATAATTCAAAGATTTTTCTGGTACTAAACCAACATTATCCCACACTGAGCCCTGGCTTAGGCATAACAGAACTGTCAAGGTTGAAAGTTCAATGATTCCCTCCCTCTAATCATTAACTCAAGTGACATGCTCCCATGTGTATAAATGAAGCAAATTTGTTCTGGCTTAGTATTTCTAACATTGATTTTTCCAGAACTGCAACATTTAATCCACCTTTTCTTATACGAACTTCAAAACAGTTTAAAGTTAAGACTAGTTGACTGGGAGGTAAGAACCTAAACATACAAGGCAGAAATCATTGCAAATAATATCAGAGTAAACACCACATTAGCCCCCTTTTGATGTGAAATCCTTAGGATCCTTTGACCTAAACATGGCTTTCTGATTTTTTTCATCTTCTCCTGAGATGGCTCTCTGGCTTTCTGCTTGATTAATTGTTGACTGACCTTTACTAGGAATTTCTCTAAAGCCACTGGAAGTGAGACACCCTGTTTTTAAGATCAGCTTCTGTGTAACAGCCCCTGTCAGGTGTCCCCATGGGCAACAGAGAGCTATGAATGTGGCTCAAAAATTGAATGTGGCTCTAAAAAGTGAAAACTTACTTGAAATACTGTGAGGTGTTTCTTCCTGTATGATTGCTGTAACATCATTGCATTGCTGTTAGGCATCAACTCTTCAGCAGCAATACAGTGTCACAATGACAACGGGCGGGTTACACAAGCATGTAGCCACGGTAGATAAATGGAAAACATCTGATTTTCACACTGAGGAGAAAAGCTGAAGAACCATCTATTACCCAATCTCTGCACTCTCTGCCACTGGTGGTCACACTCCTGAGTTATCACACCTTCACACAGTCTGCAAATAGACTATTATGCATGCTTTATGACCATCTAGTGAAGCTCTCCACCTATTAATTGGGAAGTGTGCTGATTTGAATGAGAACAGCCCCCATAGGCTCATGTTTGACCATTTGGTTCCTATTTGGTGGAACTGTTTTGGGAAGAATTAGGAGATGTGGTCTTGTTGGCGGAGATGTGTCAGTGCAAACAGGCTTTGAGGTTTCAAAAGACATGCTCAGTCTTTCTGCCTCATGCATGTGGACTAAGGAGAAAACTCTTGCTCTGTCATCATGGAGTCTAACTCCCTGTAGCCATAAGCTAAATTAAATGTTTTCTTCTGTAAGTTGCCTTGGTCATGAAGATTTCTCACAGAAATAGAAAAGTTTCTAAAACTGGAAGTTTTATTCCTTCAAACTCAAGGACAATGTCACTAAAAGAGAGCCAAACATCACAGATTAGTGCAGTGGTTGGACTGCCAGTGGTCCCAACAAGCACTGAATGCTTGGTTCTGCTGGCCTTGTTGGAGAAAGTATGTCACTGGGGGCAGGCTTTGAGAGTTTAATGACCCCGCACCATTTCTAGTTCACGCTCTTTGATTGTAGTTAAGGATATGGGCTCTGAGCTCTCTACTCTAGCTGCCATGCCACTTGCTGCCATGCCTTTCTGCCAACACTGTAAGCCCAAATAAATTTGATCTTCTATGAGCTGCCTTCATCACGTTTTACCACAGCAGCAACAACAAAAAAGAAGTAACTAAGAATATTTGTTTTACTCAGTGATGCTTAGATCAAGTCTCAAAGACATAAAGACACATGCCTTGTTCATAAGAGTCTTCTCATGCCTGCAACTCTTACAACTAAGAAACCAAACTGAGAGACCAAAGGATTAAAAATCAGTGGCTATTATTTTAAAATTTAAAGTACAAGCCTGAACTAAGGCCAGCCAAGTAGAGATATGTCCAGCCACCTGCAGGGAAGAACTGGCCTTAATGCCCTGAGGGGAAGAACTAACTTTACTTCGTTCTTTCCTGCCTTCTAGTTATATAGTTGCTAGGAAACCAACCCATATGACCAAGCCAGAACTTGTAGTCTTGGCGCCTAAAATGGATGAATCATTTCAAAAGTCAATTTCCCTTACCTAGTCCTGTAACGCCAAAGCACATAAGTCCCTGCTTGCGGTTTTGCCCTATAAAAACCTTGTTCCCCTAGACTGAGGGGCCACATTTCTCTCCTGTTTCCACAGGGGGTTTGCATCCTGAGTTTGAATACATATACAATTTTTAAAAACTCATGTATATACAGTGGAGTCTATTCCTGGTCTTTTGGGGTTCATGAACTGGGCACAGCATTTTGAGAGCTCATCCTGCAACCCCAAGACTCCAGGAACCTGACCCAGAGGTTTTTATGCCGATGGTATCATGGCTAAATGTCTCTGTGCAGTGTCTGTGTGTGCATGTACTTTCAGTCCTCTATTCTGAAAATTCCTCAGGGCTCGTGGTGTCCATATGTGGGCAGCATGACATGATCAAAGAAGATGTGCTGGTGATCACAGCTGCAAATTTCAGGGGGACACCCCTGGCTTCTTTTGGCAAGTACAGTCCCACCATCCGGGAAGTGGTTCAGAAACACCTAGTGCGAAGGTCCGTGGGCCTGAGCTTCAGTGGCTCTGTCTGCGTCTATTTTTGTTTTAGTTGGGGGTACTTGTTTTGGCGTGCACATTTGTCTAGTCTGTTTTGTTTTCTGTGTCTGTTGGAGTGAAATTGTTAGACCTTTGCCAGACACACTTCCACAGTTTCCACCATGGTGGTGCACAGCGATCTTGCATGCCCAGCTCCGAAAAGGCTGGGGCAGGGCGTACCCTGTGAGAGTGGAGCCATGCTGGGTTGGCCATGTGCCAGCTGTGCAAATAGCATGCCCACTCGGCTCCAGGTGGCCAGCGCTGGCAGGCCCAGGTTGCCTGGTCTCAGCGAGCACAGAGATGTCTGGAGCCCCAGAGAGGCAGCAGCAGCAGGAGAGGACTCCCATCCCGCACCCCTTGCTGCCCAGCATGGGCTCAGTGAATGGGGACACTGCCCGCCACCCCTGCCACAAGCTCCCCTGGGGTGCAGTAGGCCACCCGAGGTAGGGCTGCGGCTGGCCCCGGGCCTGCTTGGCAATTGGCTCCTCGTGTCCCAGGCCAGGAAGTAGTGGCGCCTGGCAACACAGCATACCATGGCACATTCCCCAATGCAGTCAGGCCTGCTGGGCATGCAGGAATAAAAAAGTTGGGATTGCGACTGGAAGAATGTTTGGGAAGTATTCTTGAGCCTCCGCTTGTGTGATTTATAAAACCTGACGCTGCTAGACTCCAGTGAATTCAGCTGCAGCCGCCAAAAGCTTCTGCCTTGGACTGAACTCAGAGGAATCAGTTTTAGCCTCTTCCGGGTGGATGTCGTCTCTGCCTCGGAGGAATCGGTTTTGATCAAGTAAGAATAGTTCTCTCTGTTTAAATGTAAGTATAGGCATTATATGTTTGTTTTGACTGATCTTAAGTGGGTAATATGCTCAGTATGTCTTGGTTATAGATTAACAGTTATTGGGTATGTTTAAAGGTTAAACTCAAACTATTGTGCTTCTGTTGTTAAAAGATTCCAGAAGTTCAGAGTTTTGACATTGAACAATAGAGTTCTGATAAGTTGATGGAGCACTGACTGCTTATTATCCAGTCACAAGCTTGAGATTTTAATTGCCTTTTGGTTGTCTTCTGGAAATAGACTTAAAGGTGCTTCCCATCATGCTAAAAACATCTATCTAATGTGACCCAAAAGCCATAGTTTTTACTATGGTATTCTTAGTATCTGCCATTTCTGAGGTAGACTTTGACACAGGATTTAGGAATATCTTAAACTTATTCCCTCTAGTTGCTTTGTTAAGGAAAGCCCAAGCATCCAGGGTTTAGCAATAAAGCCATTAATGTATTTCTGCCTAACTTTCCAGTGTGACATGGAGTTGGGGCTAAAAGTAGATGCTGAGTATACAAAAAGTGACCAAGCTCCATTGGTGGCTGATTACCAACAGCTGTGCCCACAGAAAAAGTGTCAGAGTTTCAGACTGTGGACATACTTAAGTTGTTTATAAAGGTTACAAATCAAGGAGCTAAGAAGAACTGATGTTCATTCCATTGGAAGTAATTTTACCTGTTACTCACAGAATGTTGTTTATATTAAATTTGCTGATATGTTACTTTTCTGAGTTTTTTAAATATATATATTTCCTTTGGTGTACTAAAAATTCATGTGAGTTCCAGGAAACCAAAAAATCATGAGACCTGGATCTGGCATAGCTCAAACAGACCCCAGATGAGTTTTTCCTCTGGTCTTGGGATTCCTCACTTTTCCCGTTTAATAGACAAATTTTAACTTCTGTTTCTAGTCTGAATATGTCTCAGCAGATTTTCACCTAGTTGATTCTATTCCAGGATCAGCTATGGACTGTGAACTGAAATCTGCACTTGCTGGAAGCTGACATGATTGCTCCCTGTCTCTTCAGTTGCATCAACTAACCAGACACTTCTGAGGGCTGCCCCATTGCCCAGCCTCTGACTGGCATTTCAGCCTTCCTAGCCCCTGATGGCAATGGTCCTATTATTAGAACTGAAGCAACTTCAGAAGATGAGATCTTCGGTCCAAAATCCCACCCAACAGACTAAAATGCTAAGTCAAAAGGGGCTCCCTGACATTAGCTATTATCTTGGGGATCTGCTTAGCTGGAATAGGAACTAGTATTGCAGCAACTGGACTAAAAGCCTGGTGAGATCCTAGAGAGAAAGGATTCCAGAGGATGATTTAAATCCTGGTTTAATAGTTGTCCTTGGCTTACTACACTTATATCCACCCTAAAGGAACTCCTACTCATTTTGATTTTTATCTTTGGGCATTGTATTTTAAATTGCTTCATAGCTTTCATGAAGGAATGCTTGGGAGCAATACAGTAATGGTACTCAGATCCCATCATGGAAAGGTAAATCTGTAGGATATCAGGGGTCACATCTGGAAGACCCAAGATTGGGTCTTCAAATGATCATGGGAAAGGGGAATGATAGACCAAAGGATTAAAAATCAGTGGCTATTATTTTAAAGTTTAAAGTACAAGCCTGAACTAAGGCCTGCCAAGTGGAGATATGTCCAGCTACCTTCAGGGAAGAACTGGCCTTAATGCCCTGAGGGAAAGAACTAGCTTTACTGCATTCTTTTTTTTTTTTTTTTTACTTTTAAATTTCTTTATTTTTAATATTAAAACATCATGCCCTGCTCCTCTTTCCTCCCTCCAAATCCTTTTCAGTACATATAAAATTATATCGACAACAAAAATTCAACATAGAAGTAACATGGTTTTTAATATAGCTAAAAACAATTCTGAAAACTTAGCTGTCTAGTTGTTGAGTCTAAATGTTCTTTAGAGGCCAGAATTTTCTGTAACCTTAACTACTAATTTTTTTTTAATTACAAGTCATTCACTTGTATCCCAGCCATAGCCCCCTCCCTCTTTCCCTCCCAATCCCCCCCTCATCTCCTCCCTGTCCCCTTCTGAGTCCATTGATAGGGAAAGTCCTCCTCCCCTTCCATCTGACCCTAGCTTATCAGGTTTCTTCAGGACTGGCTGCAATGTCCTCCTCTGTGGCCTAGCAAGGCTGCTCCTCCCTCAGGGGGGTGGAGGGGTCAAAGAGCCAGCCATTGAGTTCATGTCAGAAATAGTCCTTGTTCCCCTTACTAGGGTACCCACTTGGACACTGAGCTACCATGGGCTATGTCCAAGCAGGAGTTATAGGTTATATCCATGCATGGTCCTTGTTTAGAGAAACAGTCTCATAGAAGACCCCTATGCCCAGATATATTTGGACCTTGTGGGGCTCTTGTTCTCTCTAGGTCATACTAACTCCCCCTTCTTTCTTATGATCCCCTGCACTCTGCCGAAGGTTTGGTTATGAGTCTCAGCATCTGCTTTGACACACTGCTAGGTAGAGTCTTTCAGCTACCCTCTGTGGTAGGCTTCTGTCCTGTTACTTATTTTCTTCTACTTCCAATGTCCATCCCATTTGTCTTTCTAGGTGAGTATTGATCATCTTACCCCTGGTCCTCTTTCTTGTTTATCTTCTTTAGGTGTACAGATTTTAGTATGTTTATCCTATCTTATACGTCTAATACCCACTTTAAGTGAGTATATACAGTGTGTGTCTTTCTGCTCCTGGGCTATCTCTCAGGATGATCTTTTCTCGATCCCACCATTTGCCTGCAAAATTCATGATTTTCTTGTTAATTGCTGAGTAGTATTCCATTGTGTAAAAGTACCACAATTTCTGTATCCATTCCTTTGTTGATGGACATCTGGATTGTTTCCAGGTTCTGGTTATTATGAATAAAGCTGCTACAAACATGGTTGAGCAAATGTCCTTATTGTGTACTTGAACATCTTTTAGATATATGCCTAGGAGTGGTATAGCTGGATCTTGAGGAAGCAGTATTCCTGATTGTGTGAGAAAGTGCCAGATTGATTTCCAAAGTGGTTGTACAAGCTTACATTCCCACCAGCAATGGAGGGTTCCCCTTTCTCCACAAACTCTCCAGCATGTATTGTCACTTGAGTTTTTGATCTTAGCCATTCTGGTGGGTGTAAGGTGAAATCTCAGGGTCATTTTGATTTGCATCTCTCTAATGGCTAAGGATGTTGAGCATCTCTTTAAGTGCTTCTATGCCATTCTATATTCTTCATTCTATATTCTTCTTTCCTGCCCACTAGTTATACAGTTGTTAAGAAACTGACCCATATGACCAGGCCAGAACTGTTTGTAGTCTTTTTTTTTTTTTTTAAGATTTATTTATTACTTATACAACATTCTGCCTGTACACCATATCTTACTATAGATGGTTATGAGTCACCATGTGGTTGCTGGGAATTGACTCAGGACTTTTGGAAGAACAGCGAGTGTTCTTTACCTCTGAGCCATCTCTCCAGCCCCCTGTTTGTAGTCTTGGCACCTAAAGTGGACCATTCATTTCAAAAGTCAATTTCCCTTACCCAGTCCTGTAACACCAAAGCACATAAGTTCCTGCTTGCGGTTTTGCCCTATAAAAACTTTGTTCCCCTAGACCATGGAGCCGCATTCCTCTCCTGGTTCCACAGGGAGTTTGTGTCCCATGTTCAAATATGTATACAATTTAAAAAAATCCTCATATATATTTACAGCGGAGTCTATCCCTGGTCTTTTGGGGTTCGAACTGGGCACAGCAAACCAAAACAAAAAAGATTTGGAAATTCATGAGGCACAACACAGAACACAGGCAGAGTCAACTAAGAGGCCACACACTGTTTTAGAGTCTAAATTTATTAAGATACTACATTTGGTTTAGTTCCAATATGATCAATGTCCACTTGCAGCAGAGAAGACCCCCAAGTGATGAAGGTAGTGGATGGTGAGGGGACAAGGGACAGAACCATCTTCCAGTAATGCAAAAGTAGGCATCACACTGCAGGTGGGAGTAGTCCACACAGGGGGAACTCAGTGTTTACTGAGCAAGACTAATGCTAGGTAAGCACAGGACTGCTGGGGCCAGGAGAGGGGGCGGACCAGAACATTCTGAGAACCAGGTTCAGCAGGCTGACTGGAGGGCAGCAGGCAGCACAGGTGCTCGCAATCACTTGGGGAACACAGTGACCACATCGTAGCCCTCAGGTGGTGTGACCCGCTCCCGAGCATGCTTTTCACAGTAGATCTGATCCTCTACAAAGAAATGGCCCTTCTGTTTCAGGTTCGTGCCACAGTCGGTGCACACGTAACACTCAGGGTGGCGATGGTGGTCCCTCAGCTTCACAAACACGCCACTGCAGGAGGAAGGGAGAGCGGGGCTCCATTAGTGACACTAGGACCCTGCATTCTCCTTCCTGAGCTGGGGCCTGGGGCTTCTCCAGGGGCCCTACAACAGGCCTTGATTGTGAATGGGAAGGCTCATCATTCTTTGTTGAGCTTTTCCAGTGTCAACACAACAGTTCTGCATATTCTGCTTGATCCGATGTCTTATCCCCAAGCCTTGCCACACCCAGCAACTCCCATACTTTGATGATTTGCCCAAGCTCTGACACCAGAAAAAGTCAATACTCACACAATGCCAGTGCCACATTTGTCACACATGGGCAGCTTCTGAGCATTTCCAACTGATGCAGCCACTTTGGTGACTGGAGCTTTAACACTTCTAAATCCTGATGGCTTGTTGGGATCCCCTGAAGGGAAAGAAACACCCAGGTTAGCCAGGAAGTGAAGAACTAAGTAAGTGTCACTGAGCTCTCTCAGAGCCGCCTGTGTGTCTGTATGTTCAAGCCAAGACACAGCCACTGGGATCAGACAGCCAGGGACTGTACAGTACTGGGCAAGTTGTTTTGCCTTTTGCAGTCTCTGTTTACATTTTTTAAATAGATTATTTTCATCTTTATTGTTATAAAGAATAGATATATTTTTAAAAAATCAGTAGAAAAAATGCCTATAGTGTCTTGCTTGTGATCAACTCTCATAACACTAAACTCAAACATGTTACAAACACTTAGATGGGCCCAGAATGTTACCAGCTCTAAGACTGGGAAATCCTGCCCTTGGCCAAGACCTTGGTCAATGGACATGAACAAATGTGAGTCTTAAATTATGTGGGGGATTGGTCATGTCCCCACAGAGCTTCTGTCCCTTGTGCCATGAGTATAGCAAGCCTTAGAGGAAGCCTCTACCTTGGCCAGGCACCTGGAATGAGAAGAGTTGGGGTGCCATGCTGAGCCAGAACTATCTAGCAGAACCCCGCCCCCATAGACCCTCAACATGAGTCACCAGATGCTAAGACAATGTGTAAGTGAGATTGAGGTGTTGTGCTAATTTGTGGAGAACAACAGTAGGTTTTTTTTTAAATTACTTTGCTAAGAGTATTTTTAGAGTATCCTTTCAACAGTCCCTGAAAGCTACATGCAACACAATCTCTCAGGTTTCTCCCATTGATGCTTGATCCTCTCAGATTAGGACCAGATATCCACCTGACAACTCATAAGATGGAACATGATTCAGAGACCATCTGTAGGTAGACTTAGGGAAGGCTCTGCCTTCCCGAAGGGGAGAAGACCCCCCACCCTTGGTGGGTCTCCTACCCCAAAGCCCAGGGACCTTCTTCCTTTCCTTTGGAAGAAGGCCAAAGTCCCAGTTTTTCTAATTGCAGATTTTTATATTAATTTGATTATTTATTGTGATGCTACATTAAAACATTTCTATGCTTAAAAAAAAATTTTTTTTAAGGTTCCATGTTTAAGAGCAATGGTTGCTCTTCCAGACAGCCCAGGTTCAATTCCTACCATCCTCATGCTGGCTCACAAAAGCAACAGATCCAGATCTAGGGGATCTGATGCTTTCTTCTAGTCCTAGGCACCAGGCACACACATATGCATAGACATAAATGCAGGGAAAACACCCGTCCACATAAATAAAAAATTTAATTTAAAAAGTTACATTTACTTAATGTGTGTGTGTGTGTGTGTGTGTGTGTGTGTGTGTGTGTATGTGTGTGCAAGTATGTGCATGCCATGCTGAGTTGAGGGAAGGAGGTCCAAAGGACAACTTGCAGGACTTGTGTTACTTCTTCTACCATTGGATTCTGGGGTTCAAACTCAGGTTTGGCAACGAACTCCTTTGCCAGATCAGACATCTTAGCAAACTGTTTGGAACTGAACACAAGGCCTCACAAGCTAGGAAAGTGTTCTACAGCTAAGCTAAATTTGTATCAATTGCTGGGTTTTTTACTGGTTGTTTTTTATGTTTGATTGGTTTTTTATTTTTCTTTTTTTAAAATTTATTACAGTTTATTCACTTTGTATACCTTCTATAGCCCCTCCCTCGTCCCCTCCCAATCCCATCCTCTGTCCCTCATCTCCTTCTATGCGCCTCCCCAAGTCCACTGATAGTGGAGGTCCTCCTATCCTTCCTCTGATCCTAGCCTATCAGGTCTCTTCAGGACTGGCTGCATTGTCTTCCTCTGTGTCTGGTAAGACTGTTCCCCCCTCAGGGGGAGGTGATCAAAATGCCAGCCACTGAGTTCATGTCAGAGACAGCCCCTGTTTCCATTACTAGGGAACCCACTTGGACATGGAGCTGCCATGGGCTACATCTGAGCAGGGGTTCTAGGTTATCTCCATGAATGGTCCTTGTTTGGAGTATCAGTCTCAGAAAAGACCTCTGGGCCCAGATATTTTTGGTTTTCTGTTGGTCTTTTGGAGCTCCTGTCCCATTTAGGTCTTCCTATCTCCCCCTTCTTTCATAAGATTCCCTGCACTCTGCCCAAAGTTTGGCTAAGAGTTTCAGCATCTGCTTTGATACCCTGCTGGATAGTTTTTCAGAGGCCCTCTGTAGTAGGCTCCTGTCCTGTTCTCTTGTTTTCTTCCTCTTCTGATTGATTGATTTGTTTTGAGACAAGGCTCCCTCACTTTTTGGCTGAAGGTGCTTTTTGGCCTGTCCTGTCAGGAGGGGCAGCACCTCTGTGCATGTGGCCAGTGTGTACAGGCAAACTGACTACAGAGGGAACCAACTCAGCAAAGGGTGGGCTCTCAAATATAAGCTATCCTCTTCCCATAACTCACTCAGTCAACAAGAAAATTGCCATGAAATAAGAGAAAGTGCAGGGTTGTAGAAGGAGGGGAGACAGGGAGAGCTGTGAAATTCCTGCTTGGTAGACAAGCCACATCCTTTTCTGTAACTGAGACTGGAATTGGGAGCAGCACTGGGCGGAGGCAGCCCTCATTCTCAGGCCTACACTGCCACCTGCTGGCTGCAGGTTGTTTTTTTCTCACTTAAAAAGCCAACCCTAGACATTGGAATTCTCTTTCCTTTGCAGCTAGCTTACGACTGGGCTCCAAACAACTACAAATATTCCCAAATGTTTTATGGTTTGTCCAGAGCAAGACAAAACATGAGGAAAGAACGGGATGAACTGCATTCAAGCATACAATCAGCTCTGATGGAACTGCCTGGCGTTTATCACCAATGCTGCTCAACCAAACCTTGTCTGGGCACCTGGCTGCACTGAGCACCTCACAGACAGACTTTCCCTTAAGCTTCCCAACAGTCCTGTGGCAGCGTGGTGCCCCTGTGGGTTGCATGCAGACACTAGAGCTCAGAGGGCCCAGCAACCTGCTCAAGGTCTCGAGGCAGGTTTCGCTGGCCCCTGGATGCCAGTATTTCCACCCACAGACTTTGCTCTGAACCGCAGACCTGTCAACCACAGCAGCACTTTATTGACATTGGCTGGTGGGCTGGGCTTTGACCTCTCAAAGTACAAACCTCAAGAACAAACAGGCCTTTGGGCTCTCTCCCAGAGCCTGCCACTATGTGGCACATATCTGTCTAGAGTTTACCCTG